CTCTTCCTCTTGACATTCAGTGTTCTTCAAACCTGACCTTGCTCTCCCTGTTTTATAGTAACCTTTCTCCAAGAAGGACTTGCCTCTGCAGCCAAGACCTTTTCTGTGCTTTCCACATATCATTTCCACTTCCCTGCCTTTGGCCAAAACATCCCCTGCATATCCAGAAATCACCCCACCCATGACTCTATGTCACCCAAGAGGCCAAATTGTATTCTAGCTACTGTTCAAAGTCCAACTCTTCTCTCCAGTTTCTGGACATCAAGTACACAAGTCCATTCGGGCTGCTATAACAAAATAGACTAGGTAGTTTAGAAACAAGAGTTTTTTTTTTTTTTGGTAGTGGTGGGGATCAAACCCAGGGTCTTTTTTTGCGGGGTGGGGTGGGGGCGGGTGCCAGGGATTGAACTCAGGGGCACTTAACCACTGAGTCACATCCCTAGCCTTATTTTGTATTTTATTTAGAGACAGGGTCTCACTGAGTTGCTTAGCACCTGGCTTTTGCTGAGGCTGGCTTTGAACTTGAGATTCTTCTGCCTAAGGGCTACTGGGATTACAGGCATGCACCACTATGCCTGGCTAAACCCATTCCAGAATTAAAATCTTTGTGGTTTAGTGTAAAATTTGCTCTCAGTTTTATAAAATTTAAGATTAAGAATCATGGGCTGGGGAGGGGAGGGGGGATAGTAGAGGATAGGAAAGGCAGCAGAATACAACAGACACTAGTATGGCAATATGTAAATCAATGGAAGTATAACTGATGTGATTCTGCAATCTGTATAAGGGGTAAAAATGGGAGTTCATAACCCACTTGAATCAAAGTGTGAAATATGATATATCAAGAACTATGTAATGTTTTGAACAACCAACAATAAAAATTAAAAAAAAAATTAAATTAAATTAAAAAAAAAAAAAGAATCATGGGCTGGGGATGTGGCTCAAGCGGTAGCGCGCTCACTTGGCATGCGTGCGGCCCAGGTTCGATCCTCAGCACCACATACAAACAAAGATGCTGTGTCCGCCGATAACTAAAAAATAAATATTACAAAAATAAAAAAATGAAGAATACTGCACAATCATAAGAATGAGCACAGGGCTGGGGTTATGGCTCAGTGGTAGAGTGTTTGCCTAGCAGGTGTGAAGCCCTAGGTTCAATCCTCAGCACCACATAAAAACAAACAAATTAATTAATTAATTAAAGGTATTATGTCCATCTGGGAGTCCAGTAGTGGTGCCTCTGGGGACACAAGGGGAGATTTGATGGAAGAGGCACCATTTCAGCCTTGGCATTTGGACTTGGGAAGATGGACAATGGAGTCTCTCTCTCTCTCTCTCTCTCTCTCTCAGTAATACTAGGGATGGAACCCAGGGCCGCATTACCACTGAGCTAAATCCCCAGCTCTTTTTATTTATTTATTTGTTTTTGGTTCTGAGGAATGAACCCAGGAGTGCTTTACCACTGAACCACATCCCCAGCCCTTTAATTTTTTTTTTTAATTTTGAGACAGTTGCTCAGGCTTCATTAAGTTGCTGAGGCTGGCTTTGGACTTGAAATCCTCCTGCTTCAGCCTCCCTACCTGCTGGGATTACAGATGCTGCCACCACATCCAGCCCCTTTTTATTTTTTATTTTGAGACAAGATCGCAATAAATTGGTAAGGCTGGCCTGGAACTTGTGAACTTTAAACAAAGTATAAAGTAGGGTTTGTTTGAAACATTTTAGTCTGCAGTGAATATTCATGTCCGTTTCCGTTTCGAATTTCAGAGGCTCTTTGGAGTTAAGTGGGGCCATGTGACTAGTTGTGGCTAATGGGCTATAAGCAGAGGGATTGTGTCATTGTCTGGCCAAGTGGTGTAAGGGCCATATGCATCCTCCAGCCCTGCCTTCTGCTGCCACAGTGATCTGAGAGTTAAGGAGATGTCATTAGCCTAGATCCCTGAGCCTGGCATGGAAGGAGGCTGCCCAGGAGAGGCGCCGTGGATCTTTGTGAAGTGCAAAATAAAAATTTGTGGATTTAGACACTGAGATTTGGGGTTATCACCATGACACAACCTACCCTATCTTAACACAAGGGGCACTTGTATTAGGTGCTTCTAGTAGATTATATGGTACATTAGATAATGCCAAGGTATCATTGCCAATTTTGGTTGGGCATGATGATGGTGGTTAAGTGAGAAAATATTCCACACTGGCGGATGTATAACTGAAGAACATAGGGATGGAATGGCAGGCAGTCTGGATTTGTGTGTGTGTGTGTGTGTGTGTGTTTCTGGTGACACAACCCATGGTCTTACACCTGTCAGGCAAGGTCTGCACTGAGCTATACCCCCAGCCCACAGAGATAAATTTTTGTCTACTAATTGTCAGCCCTGGGCCAGGACTCCTAGGTATGCCATGTCATTTTATCCTCTCAGGAACACTGTGAGGAAGGATCACCAACTTCCTTTCACAGATGCATTTAACTGAGCTCAGGGATTAGGCTATGTGCCTGACTCCTACTGAATCACAAAGCCAGCCTCAAAGGCCCAGGATTATGTGGTTGCCCCAAGTTGATCCAATGGCTTCTTCATAATTATTCTTTTGAAGGCCTGCCTAGTGGCCCATTTTATTGATGTAGGATAATTTACTGTAATTTACTAACTGCTGTCCTGTTTCTGAATCTTTGGGTTCTTTCTAGTCCTTTGCTTTCATTGATAGCTCTGCAAGGCAACTTCAGATTCAGAGATTTTTGATTCTATTGAATTATTCCCTTACCCAGGTAGGCTATTTTGTGAGCACACACAATCATTAAAGCAGTTTATTCCTGGTGAAGTAGTTTTTGTGAAAGGGCTGATCTGGTCAACAGGATTAGAAACTGCAGAAATATTCAGGGAGTGAGTGGTGAGGATAGGCCCGGGCAGGGCAGATAGGAGGGGCAGGAAGTGAGGGCCAGGCCAGTCTGGAAGTCAGTTCACATTTCCCTAATGCTTTCCTGGCTCAAGCTGTTTGGGGTTTGAGGTAAAAGAGGGATTAGGCTAACTAGTCCAGCATCCCTTCTTTGTCCTGATACCCAGCCCCATACCTGGAGCCCCCCTCCATCTTTAAGAGAGGATTGATACAGGACACCAACCCTCAGAATCTTCCCTAAGTGAAATGGGTAGAACAGAAGACTGAGGTCCACACACCCTCGGTCCTTCCCCAGTCCTCCCTTTCCCTAAGGCCAAGATTTCCCCACTGATTTGTGAATGCAAATGGCCTGTGGATCTGGTTAAAAGCAAGTTCTTATCCATCAGTTCTGGAGCAGGGCTTGAGATCCTGCATTTCTAGCAAACTCCCTAGGGGTGGAGATGCTTCTGGTCCTTGGTCCCACTGAGCAGCCATGCACTAAAGGTTCTGGCCCAGGTTCCTGCCTGGCCCACAGCCTGAGCTCCAGGTACTGTTTCAGAATTGAGATAAAAATTTAGAAGGAAGTGTAAGCCTTGGCAGGGGCAGGAACTTGTCTCCAAAATCAAGGCAGCATTTGTTTTGCTAAATCCAGCTCTCATGAGCTGGTTTCTCCCTCGGCAGACGAAGGACTTGCAAGAACAAGCCCAGCAAGAGGCTGAGGCCCAGAGAACCTCTGGGGTGCCCAGGGCTGCAGAGTCTGCCTGTGAGAGGGGACTGGGGACACCCTGGGCCTGAGTCCTCGGCAGGCCTGTCTCAAAGACTGGCTGACCAGTACTTAGAGGTGGGGAATGGGGGGTCTGGCAAGCTCTGGGGACAGGGCCAACCCTGTGGGGAAAATGCAGCTGCTGTGTGTGGGAGGTGGGCACTTGGGACCGCTCTCCTGAAGGCCGAATCAGCACTCCGACCTTTTGCCCAGGCCAGCCTTGGGAGGGGTCAGTTGGGGAGAGGCAGCAAGTAAATATAGATCCAGGGAAGGAAGCCAGGCAGCCCAGCCCTGCACTGACCTCTTGCTGAAGGCTGGGGAGGGCAAAGAGGGAGCAGATTCCAGTCCCCTAAGCAGCCCCCTAGAATTGTAGGAAGCAGTTGGAGCCTGTAAAAGGGCCCCAGGTGAGGCCAAGTGAAAGCTGCTCAAGAGATGCTATTCTGGGGCTGGGGATGTGGCTCAGGGGGAGAGTGCTTGCCTAGCATACAAGAGGCCCTGGATTGGACCCCTAGCACTGAAAGTGAGAGTAGGGAGGGAGAGAGAGAAAGAGAGAGAGAGAGAGAGAGACACACACACACACACACACACACACACACACACACACACGCTGACCTTGTGAGGCCTTCAGCAAGCCCCATTTCCTCTCAGGGCCTTAGTGTTCTTTCGTGATTTCTCAAAAGTGCTGTCCAATTTGTTGAATGGAAAAACAAACAAACACAAAAACAACTGGTCAAAGGGATTTGGGGGCTGGAGTTGTGGCTTCATGGCAGAGTGCTCGTCTAGCACATGTGAGGCACTGGGTTCGATCTCAGCAACACATAAGAAAATAAATAAAATAAAGGTACTGTGTTATGTCTATCTCAACTAAAAAAAAATTAAAAAGGGGGTGATGCTGGGGTTGTGGCTCAGTGGTAAAGTGATCGCTTAGCACACGTGAGGCACTGGGTTCAATCCTTGGCACCACATAAAAATAAAATAAAGATATTGTGTCCACCTAAAACTTAAAAAAAAAAAAAAAAGGACTTGGGGCCGGGCGTGGTGCCACATGCCTGTAATCCCAGCAGCTCAGAAGGCTGAGGCAGGAAGATGGCAAGTTCAAAGCCAGCCTCAGCAAAAGCGAGGCACTTAGCAACTCAGGGCTGGGGATGTGGCTCAAAAAGGGACATGGGGATCAACAAGGGGCAAAGGGTAAGAAGGCTGCCCAGTGTGTAAATTCATCTCCCCTTAACTCTCCCACTCACTCTCAGGGTCAGGCTCAGGCTACCCCCAGCCTGGCTCTCCTTGCCCCACACCATGCCTGCCATGTCTGCCTGGCCCAGTGAGACGCCCCGGGCTCTTGTTTCTGGGAAGGGAATTCAGGCGAGGCAGCTGCTCCAACACAGACGCATTTATTGGCAAAACCTATTCCCAAGCCTGGTGGAGGGAAGGGCACTAGCTCCTTGGTGATGTTCAAGGGGCAGGGGGAGGGAAGAGGTGGGACGTTCCAATCAGAGTAACCATCCCAGCAGCTCCCACTGAGGCCGGGCTCTGCGCTGCTAAGCAGGGTTTTACTTCTACTGTCTAATCCTTTAACACCCCTACAGGTAGGCACCATGAATGTCCCCTTTATACAGATGAGAAAACTGAGGCATGGTGCCATGAGGTGGTGAGTGGCAGGTGGTGGCTATCAGGGTCACCCTGAGAGCCTTCTGTTGGGAGCCTCCAGCAGCCTCTCTGCCAGCAGATTCTCCGTGTCTCCATTTCTCATCACTTGATGTTCTTTCAACTCTTTTTTATATTTTTGTTTTGTTAAAAAAAATATTTTGCCCATGTTCTAGAAAAGACACTGTCTCCTACCCCATAGGATCAAATCTGGGTTCTCCCCAAGACTTGGTTTGGATAAGGTTAGACAGAGTGGGTCTCTAAAGGGAGACAGAGGTGTGTGTATGAAGCCAAAATACAATGAAAGCTCTGAGAAAATATACAGTTAATAAGTTACAAACCTCCCTCCCCTCCCTGACTCTACCATACCCTCCCTACCTCCCTCTATCCCCTATCCAAATCTAGAATAGACTATTATTGTTCCACGACCCCCAACCCAGGGCAGGGTCTTGTCTCAGTCTCCCCTGTGTCCACCGGGCCCAGGCCCTCAGTTAATGTGTGTGGAGTGAATGAAGGAGCACTTTGTGGGAAGGAGCAAGCACCTAGGAGACCCCAGTCCAGGCCTTCCCTGGAGCTCACCTGTACCCTCACCAGGACACCTCTCTGGTCCTTGAGAAGAGGGTCTCAGGTAGGGCTGGGACAGGAAGGGGAGGGATAAGTCAGCCTATAACATGGGTATTATTATGAATGTACCCACTTTACAGAAGAGGAAGCAGAGGCTAGAGGGGTCAAGGGACCTGCCCAAAGTCACAAAGCCAGCCAGCAAAAATCTGAACCACCCCCAACATCCCATCTTTGTTACTACCCACATCTGTACTTTGAAGAGGCGGGGCTCAGACCTAAATCTTCTAGCACGTGAGGATCCCCACGTGGCCATGTGGCAGCAGGAGGGACTATTGGCTGGATCCCCTGATGTGGGCCTCCTGGCCATCTCCAGGCAGAAAAACCAGTGTAGTTTTGTGGACGGTTTCCTAGGTACCTCCTCCCTCCCCACCCACAGGCTTGTGTCATGAGATGCCTCTGGACTTCTGCTTTCCCTGAGAGGGTGGAGAAGTGGAATGGTTGCAGGGGTCTGGGCCTGGACCTGCCTGTCACACAGGCATGGGCACCTCGTCGTATTCATCTCGACCTTCCTCTTCATCAAAGGTCACCTTGGCGTCATTGGCATCCAGCTGAAGCAGAGAGGAAGGAGAAAGGGTGAGAAGCCCCAGGCCTGAGCAGGTACTTAAAGGCCCCTCTGCATTTACCAAAGGGTCTGGTTGTCCTTGAAGATTGGACAACTTGTGTGTCCCCCCCCCCACATCTCTAGGGTTGTCTGAATGAGTGGTTTCCAAAGGACAAGGAGCCCTGGGGATCAGGTACCCCAGCTGGGAGGGACCTGGAGAGGGTGAACAGAAACCTCTTTACCACTGCAGCCCCACAGTGACCTGAATCACATCATGGAGGAAGTCTATTCATGAAACTCTGTCCCAAATGATTTGGAAGGCTTGAGGACTAATGGCTCAGGGGCTGAGGCAGTTCATGTAACACACAGCCCATGTTCCTTTTAACATTTCCACCAGCCCTCTCCTCTCCTTATTTCGCCATTCATAGCAGAGGCACAGAAAAATGAGGCCACTTGCTCCAGATGATGTTAGGACACAGCAGGCCAGGATTCAGACATTGTCCCTAGGCCCAGACCTTAAACATCATGCTTTCCTGCCTCTCCTAGCTTCAAGATCCACCTTCATATTCTTCCAGGCCTTTTGCTGTCCCCTACCTGTCCCCAGTCTGGAGTCCTGCCCCCAGCCTCTGGCCTCCCAGGATGCACTTGTCTGTGCCCTCCCTCCAGCCCAAGGCCCAGACCGCCACTCACACACTGGAGCTCCAGCTTGCTGAAGATGCAGGGCAGCAGGAAGTGCCGCAGGGGCACAGTGAGGATGAGGATGAAGGGCAGGGCCAGTGACGCAGAGGTGGACTTCACCGCCCACAGCCCTGCCAGGCAGAGGATCTGGATGCAGGTGAACATGTGCATACGCCAGGTCCTCACCTGCAGGGAGGCTGGGGTCAGTGCCTGCCCTGCTCCAGCAACCCCACCCCACCCAGGCTGCGCAGCCATCAGGGCCCTGTACCCGCTTGACAAAGGGCACGTCCGGGTGGTACTTGGGAGGCTTGCATAGAAGCAAGATGCGGTCAAAGAGCTGGATGCCGCTGAGGGACGTGACCCCCATGTACAGGAAGATGCCAAACAGCACGGCCAGGGGGATGCGGGACAGGATGGGCTCCATGAGGATGGACAAGCCTGTGGGGAGGACCACACACTCTCAGCCATAGGTCACCCAGAGGACCAGCACCCCTATTTGGGGTAACATGTGGGCCTTTTCTGTGGGTCTTCTTAATAGGTATTATTCCCATTTTTCAAATGAAGAAACAAGTTCAGAGAGGTTAACAACCCACCTAAGGCCACACAACTAGCAAGGAATCAAACTCCTACTTGCCTGCCTTAAGTCCACACTTTTTTGGGGGACGGTACTGGGGGTTGAACTCAGGGGCACTTGACCACTGAGCCACATCCCTAGCCCTGTTTTGTATTTTTTTAGAGACAGGAGCTCACTGAGTTGCATAGTGCCTCACTTTTGCTGAGGCTGGCTTTGGACTCATGACCTTCCTGCCTCAGCCTCCCAAGCAGCGGGGGTGTGCACCATGTCACACGGCTGGCCCACACTCTTAACCTAGTGGGATTTACTGAGTTCAGAGAAACCCATTCTCCTCACCCCACCCCAGAATATCTCCACCACTCTCCACCTATCCAAATCCTAACCCTCTTCCAACTTTGCTTCCTTTAAAAAACTTCCTGGGGCTCTAGCTGGAGCTCAGTGGTGAGTGTGTGTCTAGTATCAAAAAAAAAAAAAAAAAAAA